CACCCCCCGTCACTCTGCAGTCCACTGCCCAGTATGCTCCCCTCGGGGAGCAGCAAGCCCATGGTCGCTGTCCTGCAGACGGGCCCTGCAGACGGGCACTCCAGCCCTTTCCAAGGAGCATACGCCCTTTAGTGTGGGGAAGGCACCTCCCGCCGGGCAGCGATACACCCGCACCGAGCGCCCGTCCGTGTGTGAAGGCGCGTGTTGCCCATTCCCTCCCGCTCTTCCCTGTGCCGCTCTGGCTCTGGCGCTTCACCGGCCGGGGCAGCAGCAGCCCGGGTGTGCTCTGAGCTGGGATTTCCTCCGGGTCTGTCTCCCCTGAAGGGGCTGCAGACAGAGCACACCTGCGACGCTGCTGCTGGTCTCAGAGGCAGCCCTACAGTGGGCTGCGGATTTCGGCTCCTGCGCGGCCAGCGTACAGCAATCCGCCTTTATTTTATGAAGAAGTACACAGAATTCTTACAGAAGGTGGTATGTTGCCATCTTTAAGTAATCCCCCAGCAGTTCCGTTGTACATGTAAGCTAAAATCACCTCCATGTAGTGAGACTCACGTTAACACTCCTTTTATGTAAAGAGTTGTGTATCCACCTAACCTCATGGTCCATTTAACCTTTTCAGGAGTGTGTTGGGCGTATCAGAAACCAGAGCTCATGGCTAAGAGTGTGTCCAGTGGAAAAAGCACAGTGACTGCATTGCACTAAACCACATAAAGCAAATCTATACAAAAGTACTTTTCTAAATGCTCAAATGTTATCAAAGTGCTCTATTTATAGAAGTAATCCTCTCTGTTAACAGCCAGGATTTGCTGTTAGAAATAACTCTTGTGAGTTTTATATTGTGCTTTTGGGGTTCTAATCATTTCAGCGTTGGTCTATTTTAAACAGCAGTATTACTCTAAGCGGTGTGCTTCAAAGTGTGAACTAACTTGTCGGAACCGTGGCTTCAGCATCCGTGTGATTAGTGTGTGGTATTTGCTTTCCATTAGCCAAACGACTCATCATCCACTTCACCAGTCAGACAGCAGTTCCGTGGATCTAAACTACTGTCTGAGTACACACATCGCGTAGCAGGTCGGCCTTTATCAGGAAATAATATTCGGCAAGTTGCTGAGCGTGCACAAAGTTCTGAAAGTTCAAGGTACACTGCAGATAACCAGCCATTATTCTGTGTGCTATGAAAAGATTTACCAGTTCTGATAAAAGCAGAGCAGAAATTAGACACTAAGGATCTCTTTGTGAATTCTTTGTTCTCTATAGTAGATTGCTGTTTATATGTAAGAATTTTATTGCTTATGTGGCATACAATATTTATAACTATATACTTTATAGAAAGATATATTACAGTCGGTGGTATACATTCTGTATATATCCTGTGAAATGTGCCGTCGTATGAAATAAATATACTGTCTTTACCATGTTGACTACTTTGCTCAGAAGGGAAGAATTTTTCTCAGCCATCTTCCTTGACCTTTGCTTTACAAGTTAGTGATATTTGGGGATTAACTTGTTGAATCAGGCATTTTAATTCAAGGTCTTACTTTCATCCATTCTACTTCTCCATGTGCTAATGTTCCAAGAATGAGAGAAAGATACGGAGATTAGTAAGCATCATTAAGAAGCCCCTGCACGAATTCTGAGACATCTTGTTGGCTTAAAAATAACGCATGCAGCACAAATGATTATTTCCTAACCACAGCAAGAGACAGAGACTGGGGTGGGGAAGGGGAGGGCGCAGAGGGAAACCAGTCAGAACCCCCAGAGAGGAGAGGCTGGCTGGAAAGACTCGCCCTCAGGGGCCAAGGCTGGCAGGTCCCATGAGGATTGCCCTTTTTTCAGCCTTACAGGGTTGCTGTTCTAAATAATAGCGACCTGGACTCGTAAATAGTTTAAGTATGTTCATTAACTTCTGGATGAGAAGTTAGAGGTACAGAGTAACAGGCTTCTACGTTTTTAAATTTTCAGATAATTTTAGACTTATATGCAGTTGTAAGAAATAAGAGAGATACCAGGTACCCTGTACCCATTGCAGAACTCGGCACCGCACCGCAGCCGGACAGGACCGTGGGTGCAGGACGTCCCCGTCCTGCAGGCCCTCCCCCGGTGCCCTCCCCGGCCCCGCCCGTGC